TCCATATCTTTGGGGAGGCACACACTCTTGGCCAGGTTGAAGGCCAACTGTTATCAGCAACAACCGAATCGGAGTCGTTGATATCACGGTCGTTGAAGATAAGTTTTGGTGCCCAAGTTGTAGTTCGGTGGGAAGGCTCCGGTTGGGGGCTCGGTGGCAGGCTTGGTGGAAGAGCAGCCTCATCTTCATCAGCCAACCGTTGTTCAGTGTCGGCAGTTCGGGCGCGCTTGGTTCGGCGGGATGAGGACGGTTGTTGAGTAGGAAGGGCCACCACCGCTTCTTGGATTTGACTTGATGGTGGTACTTCGGCCCTGTTGGTTTCGGTTAGAAGCGCCCTTACACTGTTCTTTTTGGCCATCTCCTCTTCAGCAGTTAGTGGAATTAGTCGGATTTGTGGTAAGGTTGGGTCCGGCTCTGGTGCGTCTTCAAGAAGAAAATCAGTCACTCTAGCTTTTCGGCGACCACTATATCTGTAGGTCGGCTCGAACTTTAACAATTTGGCCCAACTACGTTCGGGATACCGTAGTGCGACACGTAAAGTAGCTAGGTTTGGGTAGTTGTATAAAGAATGAAGGTGAGAAGAATCTGCGAAAGAAGACAACTGTTAGTCCGGCTGAAAGATTAAAAACCGAAATATAAAAAGCAAGCAAGAAAACCGAAGTAAATTTACCGGGCTCTCCTTTTTTCCAATTTATACGTCGGCCAGGAATCTGGGCTTGAAGGTCCTCAAAATTCCCAGATACTCAGAAAAAGTCGTCGTCGTTCAAGTCTTTATCCGGTGTATGTTTTATTATCTTCTCTGGGCGACGACGTATTCTTAAATAATAGACTCATCCATCTTCTTTTGAACCAATGGAGTATTGGTGGAAGATTTCGGCCAAGCCTAGGTTTAGTCCGGCTTGGCGGTTCAGTTCGGCTACTCCCATTATGATGAGGTATGAATTGGTGGATAGTTGGGTAGGGCATAGTCTAGTTTGCCTAAGAAACTCGCAAATTAAAGGTTGGACTGGAAATCGTAGTCCGGTTTCGATTATGGATAAGAGTGTGAAGGGGACAAAGCCTTCATTGTTCCAAGGAATGACATTTTTTCCGGCCAAAATCAGGTGAACGTCATCAGGTATATTGAAGTCTTTTCTGAATTCGGCTAGGCCGCCTGGAGTGTCTACTAGATACCTATACTTCCCCATTTATGGTATAAATTATGAATAATTTAGATCGGTGCAAAAATTGTGCTCAGTAGCTCGGTTGAGCGAACGAAGGAGTGCCTGGGCAACCTAAGTCTGCAAAGTAGAAAACAAAGGGATTAAGCACAGATCATTGGACCGTGCTACAAATTAAAAGCAAGGTAAAAGAGCCCTACTTCGGCTTTGTGGACAGGTTCTATCTCGGTAGCTCGGTTTGAGCATAGGGTTCGCAAGATCGGTTTTTTTTATAAGGTTGGTTATCTCGGTTTGAACTATGAGTTTTGTTACTTCGGTTGAGCCCCTAGGGGTAGCTTTCTGAGTTTGGTTCAGAAACTAAGAAAGCTGGCTTAGCCCCAAAGGCTTAGCTCGGTTGAAGGCCGGGATTCCTAGTTTAATGAGTGCAAACTTCGTTTGGTGAGATTATCTCGGCTAAAGTGAATCAAGAGTTGGTAACTTGCTGAAACTACTGTTATTTCTACAAGTTCTAGTTCGGTTATTGTCTGAATTTATCTACATATATAGCACAAACAGTCTCCTAGTTCGGTTGGGACAAGATTCTAGATCGAAACCTAGTTTTCTACAGGATGTATCATATACTCATGTGTTCTACTGTCAAAGTTCTTTTTCGTAGAAGGACAGAGCAAAGCAAGATAGAAAAAGTATTTGCAAAAAAGCACAAAAAACAAAATATACAGATACGAAAGTAAAACAGAGCAAGAAGGATAGGCTAGCTTACCAGATTGAAGAAGACCTAGATGGAAGCAGCAACAGTAAAGGAGGCGCACGCGAAGCAAACTTCACAGTTGCAAAAGTTGGAGAAAAATGAAGAACTCGAAGAGAAGGAAGAAGGTGAATGGCAAAAAGTAGAGGGACCTGGCCTCAGGGGTAGTTTTTGTGAGAAAGCCCAAGATTTGGGCAGGACTGTTCAAAATTGCGAAATACGAAGACGGCGTTGACAGCTGCCTACCACGAATGGGAACGTGCCACGTGTATACGGAAAATGAAGCGATTCAGTTTTTGGTGATTGAAAAGACATTGTGACCGGATGAGAGCGGCTCAGTTTAAGTTTAGCTCGGCAGGGTAAGCTAAATTGTTGTAGCTCGGCTGGAAGGTTTGGGGACTATAGCTCGGCTGATGAACAGATAATCCCTATCATGCTGTGCAGATGGAATTAAGGGGCAATTGAGAGGGTAATTTTTGGTGAAAATTGGGCCGAGCTATGAGATGGATGTTATGGCCCAAAATACAATGGACTAGGTAAAGAGGCCGAAAAGTTACTCCGGCCCAAGGGAGATAAAGTTACTCCGGCCCAGAAGAAATTATAAGTTACTTCGGTCCGAAATCAACTTGGAGTTAGGCCGGTCTCAGTGTTAGTCCGGTCATGACGTATTGTTGATTAGAACGGTCAAAACCTAGATACTCGGTAGTTCGGTCCAAACACACCATGGTTCGTGCATGGGAGAACCGAGATAAGTTGTAACGTGAGGAAGGACCGAACTAATGGTAGTACGGCTTACCCTGTGGCTAAGCATAGCCGTGGGTACTTCGGTCATATGGGAGTTCGGCCATGGTGATAAACATCTCACTTGGTTTAAGCAGTGAGGGGGGTGTTGAAGGATAAGCATTATCTTTCAGGAGTATGAATCCTAGAAGGACTCTGCATGGAGGAATAGAAGTCCTACTAAGATTGTGCCACACGAAACCTATAAAAGCTCACAAACATCACCTTGGAGGAGGTAACACACAACTTTGCTTCTTGAATACGCAGAGCTTTGTCTACTTGTCAAGTTTGCTGACTTAGGCATCAGAGAGGTTTCCGGCACACACCCGCCGGCTAGCTCACGTTTGTGTTTTCAGGTGATAAAGCGACGTCGTGCGGAGGAGCACAGACTTAGTCAACATGATTATACGAGAAGGTGTATTTCTTTCTCCTAGCTTCTTCATGGTCCATAATACCCGTAGATGTTGTCAGCACAATGTGCCCAAACTGCAAGATCATTAAGCATCCATCATTATCACATAACCCAAAATGTAAATTATATAGTGAGATCACAAACGAAGCATAAGAAAAATATAGGCACAGTGTACATTGTGAATGTTGCATATCACTCAAATTCAAAGGGTTCACAAAGGTATGAACGAAGTATAATTCTCCAAACAATTCCAAAAAATCCAGTAACTGTAGCCTCTAATTTTCATTTCAATGAGCAAGAACACCTCATTCATAGACTAAATAACAAATATTTTCCAAGGCTAACCTATCTTGAGGGGAGCAATCTTGCCGTCCAAGGTTCAATCTCTTTGACCCCAACATCAAAACAAGGACTAATAACCCCACATTTGTTCAGCCTTCCATTCAATTCAACCACAATTTTTCTAGATCTGTGATCATCAACGTACTCAAACTCTCCAATGTAACCTACAACACCAATTGAAAGTTAAATAAACATATCTTTACATATTTCAAACAAACTTGTTTCAACTTTCATGAGAAAGAAGACTAAAATTTTTAAATTGATGGAGATGAATTATGCAAGAGGACAAACCATGCTTCTGCATGATAATAAGAAACTTGATTATCACTTTTGAGGATGGCCTGATCATGACTTGTCGTTTTCCTATCTTCTCTGCATTGTACATGCTCTTGAGAGCATCATTCAGGACACTAACTCTCACCATCCTCGCAAATGAAAAGTGCTGAAAAATTACAGCACAAATTAATTTGCTAAAACAGCACAAGAGATGTAAAGAGTTATCAGTTAGGAATAACAACAAAGAAGATACACCAGCTCCCACAGTGACGCAAACAGAGCATACCACGGCTATATAAGATTGTATTAAATGGACTAACATTTTCTTCCCCCACTCCAAATATAGATGGAACAAATTACTACTGAAAGATTTCTATACGGTACGCATGAAAATAATTGGAGATTGCTAATTTGTAACCATTATGGTTGTATACAAGGCCTCATTTCTCAAAATGTGGGCACCACCAATGTGAGAGGGTGGCTTGTTGATACTGCCAAAATGGCTGCAGATTTAACATTGCCCAATAATTTTTTGTCTTAAATGGGGATATGGATTCCACATCTTTCATAGGATAGAAATAGAACACTTCAGTAAATACTCGGTGCCATAAATTGAAAATAAAAACCTTAATTACAATACCAAACTATACATATCTCAAGGCAAAGATTCAATTATTCAAACAACTCAAGACATGCCAACTCTGTTCAACACACGTAGGTGAATTTATGAGGTGAATTGAGGTGAATTTATGAGGTGAATTGAAACTAATAAAGGACAAAAATCTAATAACCTAACCAAACATGCATACGACATCAAACCAGAATTGACACAGCAATTTGAGATTTGAAAGTGAATTAATGGACCCAATATCACAAACTAATAAATACACACATAAGACAATGTCGAATACGTGAAGACACTGACACTTCCAAACATGTACCATTACACTTTAGATAATTAGTAGACATGTGCTTAGTGTTTAAACATGCATGAAATCAATCGCAAGTTTTGATGAAAATAGCTTTGAACCAATGATTAAAATAAAAAAGTGCATTTCTACCTATCAAAACGTCCACTTTAAGATTTCATATATATGAACCCTAAATTCTAAAACTTCTAATTCTGTAGGTTCAATAAAATAGGTCCAATACCTGGGTAAAAAATAGCATTTCCAACTCCAAACAAAATTATCCTTGAATTACTTTTACCAAACATATTTCAAATGATGGTCAAGGTGGAGTCCTGTCCACCTCCATTTTTTTTCATAGCCATCTCTGAAAGAACATGAGGTACATTAGAAGATTAATTTCTCATTAGAGTTTTGTAAAAACTTAAGGTGCAAAATTTACCTATTTCTGTGCATTTTCTCTCGACAAATTCCAATGTATCACATAGCTTTTCCTTTTCCTTGATATGGCTTTCTTCAACTTGTTGAAACCACTTTAAACAGAGCTTAAGTTTTCTTATGTGGTCATTCATTTGTTCCATTTTCCCCTATCAATTCAGAACACATATAACAATATAACAAACTACAAAAAGTTGTACTATTTGGAAAATATTTACCAAAAGTTGGTGGTTTTGCAACTGCCTCCTCATATTCTTCCTCCTCTCCACCGTCACCGTCACCGTCACCGTTATCGCTGTACCAGACCAAGAACTCGAATCGATGCTGGCGGTGTTGAGAACCAGAGGCTACAACCTCTTCTGCAACGCACTCACTACCTCCAACCTCTACTTCGATCTCTTCGCCGGAACTTCCTTCACCGTCTTCGTCCCCATCGACTCTTCTCTCTTCGCTCTCGACATGACTTCTTCGGCCTTTGTTTACATCACCGCCCTCCGCTACCACATCGTTCCTCTCCAGTTATCCCTCGCGGATCTCGAGAATCTCACCTCCGGTTCCATTTTGCCCACGCTATTGCCGATTCACGATATTCAAGTTCAGAGGAGGCCCGAATCGGAAAAATTTACCGCCAATGGTGTTGATGTTGTGCCTGGTCTGTTTTTCGGCCGAAACATCGCGGTTCATGGATTGGGAGGTATTCTCAGTTTCAGAACTCAGATCGGTCTAGGTCATGAATCTTCGCTTCCGCCACCGGCAAATTTGTACAATAATCAAAGTTGATATGGCTTTGGGGATTTTGCTTCAAAATGGTTTTGGGGATTTTGGTTTTAAAGATTTTAGGGATTTTGGGTTGGTTTAGAAAAGTTTGGGGATTTTAGGGAAACACATGACCGCGAATAGGCTTAAAATGAGCGGGATAGAAAAAATTTCATTATTTTTCGCAACGGCGTACTTAAACCGTCACAAATGATGAATCCTAACAAATAAAGCGACGCCGTTTTAACAATACTTTTGCGACAGTAAATGTTCCCGTCTCAAAAAAAAAAATTTACGACGGTATATCAGGCGTCGCAAATGTTTTATGTTTTTTTTGTGATATATTCATTAGCGACGGGGTCACCACCGTCGCAAAAGACCATTTTTTGAGACGGTTTGAAAATGCCGTCGCAAAAGACCATTTTTTGAAACGGTTTGAAAACGTCATCGCAAAAGACCTTTTTTTGCGACGGTACCTATACCGTCGCAAAAAGTTCCGTGTTATTTGGGCCGTTTTCTTGTAGTATTGATGTCGATAATCAAATATATGCCAATAGAATTGATTGATTAATTTTATGATTAAAGTTTAATTGAAAATATTTTATATGAAAATATATATATTGTGAAACTTTCAATCAATTTGTGATTGTGATGATGACATCATCAACGGATTTCTTTTGGAGTATTATGTGAAAAATTACGTGTAAATAACTTTTGTTTGATTGTGGTAGTCGTATTCTTGCAATATCAATGCAATCTGGATCATCGGAAATATTTAAACATGATGATTTAAATAGTTGTGTCTTCCATTTAATTGGAAGTAGATTAAGGAATCTTTTTGTATTGATTATTATTTTTGTTAATAATCAATTGAAAGTTATTTTTAAAGTAACTTTGAATTTTGTGAGATAAGATGTCATCAATCATTATTTCACTTGTGTGGTAGAATTGGTTTAACCATGAATCATGTTCTTAATGTGGAAGTTTATCTTTTGAATTAGAAGAGATAATTCCATTTTCTTTTCTCCCAAATATTTTTGAATGAGTTATTATTTGTGACACTGACACTTGTATATAAATGAGTCATATTTTTTGTGCTAATTTATGTATTATCACAAATGTAGGAGAGAGAAGTAGAGTTGTCTCCTAATTACGATTCATGACAAGTTATCCACTAAAACTTGAATGCATTGTAAGAATTAATCCAACAATTCTGTGGTAATATCGTAACAAGAATTGTCTTAAGATTGTTAGAATAAATCGTATCTGTAAAGTTGTAACATGCAATAATCGCACCAAATATATTACCAAATTATATAAAAAAATATAAGTTTAATATAACATAAATTATTTAGGTTAACGGAACCAGAATCAGAACTACTTACAGAGAAGTAGAAAACTTACAAATAGATTGTAAAAATCTGGAAACGAAAAATAAATTGATCGAGACTTTTGTTCGACACAATTTCCTTAAGACAAATTCGTCCCTCCCTATGGTGGTTACGAGTTTTTATTAAACATTCATTTCCCAAGATACAACGATCAAACTTGATTGAAGCAGCACTACCACGGCAAGTCTAGCGAGCTTTACCGTGCAGAATTGTCTTACAAAAAAGGAAGAATTCTCTTACAAAAAAGGCAGAATGCAAAAGAAAAGAAACACAAGATGAATTTCATATTTAATGAATGTAATAGGGGTTTATTTATATAGGTGAATCGGTGGCTCTTTGAAAGGTTATGGTGACTTTTCAATGAAAAGTCACATCTCTTTTCTATGAAAAGACACAACTCTTTTTATGAAATAGATGCAAAGAACAAATATGTCTGTTCTTTCAAACATATTCGAATTTTGATTCGAACTTGGTTCAATTTTGACCCAAATAAATATTAAATAAATTTAATTTTGAAATTAAATAAATTTTGTCTTAAAACCATACTCAAATGGTGCATTTTGGAGTGAATTTCTCATTCACCTATTAATGGTTTCCAAACCATTTTTCCTGCATAGCGATGTTATTTTATGACATTTATTTGCAAAACAATGAATGACAAATATTATTCGAAAACTAAATCATTCATTTTTTGTGAGGCAAATGTAATAAACTAACGTGGTTACAATTATCGAATTGAACTGATTTTTTTTCATGGATAATCTACACGTTGTGGTCTAATAAATGAAAGGTTCAAATAATTGAGACGAGACCCGTAATGAGTCCCATAGACCTAAACAACACGATTCAGTCCACTTTGTAGTTGGAGACAAGCTAATCTCTATTTTTAAATCACTATTTTTCATAACGTTATTAAAAAATTATATAACATTTGTCATAAACCTGCATAACATGTATTAAAAACATATATAACAAAATGGTACAAACTTTATCAATCTTTTGATATGCGTTAGAGATTGTCCTAGTTGCCCAATCTTTTAATGCTAATTAATGGAAATGTCAAGTGCTTTATACCTTTAAACTAAAGACAACGTTAGCATTTTCCTTCAAAATATGTGGGAAAATGTCTAATCAGTTTGATAGTGGAAAAAATGTTATAATTTTATAGGGTGCAAGTTTAATTTGTGTTTAATGTAAGTCCCTTTATGGATAAGGGGTCACTGTTGTGCTAAAAGCACCGCAGTGACTGTGGTGCCTCCATTTGAGGTAGAGGCTTTATTTTATTTTGTCGGGCTTGAGTTGGTCTTTGTATTTTATTAAAAGTCCTTCATGAAGTGTGTGAGATATGGCCACTCTGTCATGACCCGAACCCGTCCATGCCCCTATAGATTAAGGTCATAACCGGCCAGTAATCATGAGATTATCTACAGCCTCAAACCTGATTAAACATGTTTCAGTAGAAATAAAGGGGCCAAAACGGAAGTAGACTTAAAAATTTTGTCTAATGAGCTGTGCTTATATGGCATCGCAAAATTACTCCAAAAACATTTCGTAATAATTCACACATATAGGCAGAATTAACATCTTGTACATCCAGGAACTTCAAACATGTTGTCAACCAACAAAAGTTTATATACATAGGTGATCCAACGTATTCACCAAGGTAGCAAAAAGAGTAAACAAAAGAACAAAACAAAGTCTCATGCGTGAGACATTCGGGCTGACTCCACAAAACTTGACTTCCTCTCACATTCTTCACTAAGGCTAGGTTTGGACATCTCTTTGCTCACCTACATACATATAAATGAGAGTGAGCAAAAGCCCAGTGAATAATATCAAAATAAAGAAGTTACATGAATGAAATTCGTAACAGACATATCAAACGGCCTCTAGCCCATCATATCAAACGGCCTCGGGCCCAATTCATTCTTATCAAACGGCCTCGGGCTCAATTCGTTCATGTCAGACGGCCTCTGGCCCAATTCGTTCATGTCAGACGGCCTCGGGCCCAATTCATTCATATCAAACGGCCTTGGGCCCAATTCATTTATATCAAACGGCCTTAGGCCCAATTCATTTATGTCAAATGGCCTTAGGCCCAATTCATTCATGTCAAACGGCCTTGGGCCCAATTCATTCATGTCAAATGGCCTTTGATCCAATTCATTCATGTTGTAATGGCCTTTGGCCCAATCATTCATACCAGACGGCATCGAGCCCAATTCCTTCATGTCAGACGGCCTCTGGCCTAATCATTCATGTCAAATGGCCTCGGGCCCAATTCCTTCATGTTTATGCGCATTTCATACTTGAGATCATAATCATAATCGTATTACAACGGCCTTATTCAATCATTCATTCACAATTCAGATTAACAAATCTATGAAACTTATACAGAAGTAAGCATTTAGAAAGTAGCATGCTTCGAAATATCCTTACTAAGATGTTACTCACAGTGTTCTTCCGATGGATTTGTCCTTGCTCTTGACCCTACACATTTCATAACATATTGGGTCACAAGCGATTCAATCTGTTCTTAATTTATTTATTTCTCTTAGGCCTCTTTCTTATCTGTTAGACTAATTTATTTTGATGATTTATTTAATTATATTTTAATTTATTTGGAAGAGAAAAATAGAATCAAAATTTATTTTGATGATTTATTTGAAAGAGAAAAATAGAATCAACATTTATTTTGTCCCATTATTTCTTACCTAAAACTTTTATCCTAAATGTTGTTAGAATGTATTTAATATTTGATTAAATCAGAGATTCAAACAGCCCAAAACAAAGGTTCAAACAGCCCAGCAAAGCAACAGGCCAAAAGGTTCAAACAGCCCAGCACAACAGCAGGTCAAAAGGTTCAAATGGAAGATATTCAAATTAGTAATGATGGAGTGGAAGATATTCAAATTAGTAATTATGGAGTACAACGGCTATAAATTCAAATGAATACAACGGCTATAAACGGCTATAAGTTTCATTATATATACCAAAGCCTCTAATGCAAACAAGTTACCAAAAAACTATAAAATATTCTTTGATCTATAATCACTCACATCTATTCTCTGAAAAATTTTCTGAGAAGTGTTCTTCAATTTTCGTTTACATCCTCTCTCAGAAATTATACATTAAGTCGTATAGCTTTAAACCCATCTTTCCTGTGTAAGGTTTACAAAAAAATCAGAGCTTCATTTTTATATCTATCTTTGAGAGATAATTTTTGTAGCTTTCTGTGAAAGCAAAAACACCTTCGTTTCAACCTTGTAAGAGTGCAGTACACTCAGTGTTTTTGACTTAGAATGTCTGTGTAAAATCTGTGGATGATTGCTCCATCTGTGAAAAGGTTGCTAGCACCCTATAAAGCTAGAGTATAGTGAAAAATCTCAAGTGAAGCTTGAGGAGTGGACGTAGGCCGAGTTGAACCCAAACCACTATAAATTTGTTTGTCTCTCTCTCTCCATTATCTCTTTAATTTATTTAAATTGCCATAGCTATATTTCATATTTTTATTGTGCTAAAATCATTAATTGACATAGTTGTTAGAACACTTATTTTATTTTATTTTTATTTCATTAACTATATTTATCTATTGTGCTAGTCATAATTTTTATTAGGGTATTATTATTTTAT